CATTCACCCCATCACCACACACCGCTATGCTCTCACCTTTTCCGACATTCCCACTCTTATCTCCGTCCTCCACTGACCCTTCATCAACATTCTCCGGTTCCCCCGCCGCAGCAGCGGGTTCCCCCGCCGCAGCAGCGGGTTCCCCCGCCGCAGCAGCAATAGCGGCCTCGCCATCTTGCCCAGCAGGGGGCTGCTTTTCCTCCGATACCGAAGCGGCTAGCCCGGCCCTGTCGGGACACATTTTTATAATGTGTCCCTCTTGTCCACAACCAAAGCACTTCATATTTGAAGTGGTTGCAAAAAGCACGTAGTCGAAGTCATCTAGTCTCACATGAAAACGTAAGTTTAGTTCCTCATCTTTTTTGTTTAGAAGCATGAACAGTTGTCTTCTATGAGAAACTACATGCTTCAATAAAGGTGATTTACACCCTGATGGTACCTTCTTAACAGGTGAAACCACCTTACCATGCCTCGATAGCTCCTTTACTAGAAATTCATCGCTAATGAACGGCGGTACATTCGATAGTGTCACCTTTTTTGCTGGTAGCGTTAACGGTGACACTTGCAGAAATAAGCCGTTGACGGACACGCCCGCCTCCACCAACTGTTGAGCTTGTTCGACTTTTTCCACAAATAAAACCACCGCCCCATTCATCCGTGCAGCCGACCGAATAGACCCGTGCCCAATCACCTCTCCAACGCTAAACAAACTTCCTCCACGCTGCACGGAGAGCCGGCACCCACCTTGATGCCGTTCTTCCGTGTCAGCGTGGAGAAAGACCCACCACCAACACCCACCATTGTTGCCGTCAGACGCCGGCAAGCCAGGCACGCCCGACGGCCACACCCCAAACAAACGAACAAAAAAACCCCTTAAAACGTGATACAACTAACACAAAATTACAATTAAACAAATAAAACTAGACACCCAGTGAAAAGACAGTAAGAAAAGATAAAGATATACAAACACGCTCTCTTTCACTCTCCTTCCGCTCTTCCTCACACACCCTCCTCTCACAAGAAGAAGAAGAAGAAGAAGAAGAAGAAGAAGAAGAAGAAGAAGAAGAAGAAGAAGAAGAAGAAGAAGAAGATTTTTTGATTTTTACCAAAACATTTATTTACAATAATAATAAAACAATTTCCTTTTTTTTGTTGTTTTACAATAATCCTATGTCAAACAAATACATTATAATAAAACATCAGTATAAATTAGTTCATTATTTTCTGAAATGATGCACAACACTTTGTCACATCCCCATAACTCTAAAAAACCCTGCACATTCCCAGTGGCTCTGTGGAAAGCAAACTCCAACTTCAGCCTCGCCTTGATGTTTACCTTCCACAGAGCCACACATCAACTTGAGGTCCATCCTGCATCTTGTCTCTTCGAGTTATATATATAGCTAATTTTGCCTCGGCTAATAAATAATTTAAAAGCCTTGACTTAAAACTAGTCGCTTTTCTATGACGTACTCCGTTAATAAATAGTGCATCGGTAAAAATCATTTTAAAAAGACTAAAAACAGTCGATAAAAAACTAAAAAAGACTATCAAACGTGTGCAATCTATAAAAACATGAAAAACACTCTCTGACAACCTACAAAATGGACACTCATTTATAAAACCAGGACTAATCACCGATAAAAATGCGTTGGTGGCTATAGCGCCATGGAGTATCCTCCACTGGAGGTCGCCAATCTTTTTTCTAATCGGCGGTTTGTACATTGTCCTCCAGTGGATTGGTTGTCCTTTCAGTCTTTCAACCCACACGCTGACGTCCCTCTTTCGAAGCGTTCTCTTGTTTAGAATTTTCACACAGTTTTATATAAAGTCTTTGGTGCCACTTTGCACAAATCCATTTCTGAGTCCATGGTCTTTAGCAGAGGACCGCTGTCCTCTTCAAAGCTTGGACTCAGAAGAACCTTAGGAAAAGGATCTGTTTCTTTTGGCAGGCATTCTCCATCCTTGTATGCCTGCAATAAACTCTTCTCTTTTCCAGTCAATCTTTCTCTTATTCTCATCAGGACACGTTCCATCATTCTTGTAGACCTTACTTTCAGTGCGGCAGCGACCTTCTGGGCATCGCCAAAGTCTGCTCCTGACGCTCGAATCAGCCTCTTTGAGGTCACCATTCCGGCTCTAGACAGCGTCTCTGTTAGCCCCAGGAACGTGTCCTCTTCAACATCCAGTCTTGCTCCGTACACCAAGGGTTCTTCTAATAGCCAATGCAGAGAATCAGTCATTTCCGCTCTACGCAATCTAAAAAGAGCACATGATTTAAAAACGCTCTGATAAAATTGCGGAGTTCCTTTAAACCTTAGAAGACTAAAATTTGTTAAAAACAGAGCAGCATCCAATCCCAAGGAATTCACGCGTCTTAGAATGCAACTGGCTACATCCTTCCACACAGGAGATCCTATCAGGTACTTTTGTAAAAACTGTATCCTAAACACAGTGACTCTACTGGCCAGGTGGACAAGGCCCTGGCCCCCCTCTTCTCTGGATAAAAACAGCACCGACTGTGGCACCCAGTGACGATTGTTCCAGAAAAAATTAACCATTTCCGTCTGTATTCTTGTCAGCAGCCCTGACGGTGGATCTAGTACAATGAGCTTGTGCCAGAGTTGTGATGCGACCAGATTATTAAGCACTAACACTCTTCCTCTGTACAACATTTTTTCATGCAACCATTTCCATTTCGCAAGTTTGTTTGATATTTTTTGTTCTAGGTTTTCCCAGTTTTTTTCAACAAAACTTTTCTCGCCTAAATACACGCCTAGATATTTTAGGCCATCTTTTCTCCAGGTCATGCCTTTGGGGAGAGCCGGGAGTCCGTCGGGCCACTCGCCAACAGCCAGGGCTTCACTTTTTCCCCAATTTACTTTGGCGGCAGACAGCATGGAGAACTTTCTTATGATTTCTGTTAAACCGCTGACGTCTCTTTGATCTTTAATAAAAACCACGAGATCGTCAGCATAGGCAGATAAAACCAATTTGTCTTTAAAACCGGGTAAAACCAAGCCGTGAATGTCTGATCGCATCTTCTTTAAAAGGGGTTCCAGGGAGAGTGCATAGAGCATTCCCGAGAGCGCGCAGCCCTGTCGAACGCCTCTACACACTCTAAAAGGAGCACACAGGCTGCCATTGATCTTCAGCACACTCTCAATGTCACCGTACAACACCTGGATCTTGGCGATAAGACCCTCGCTGAACCCAAACCTCCTCATTACTTTCCAGAGGAAGTCGTGTTCAACGCGGTCAAAAGCCTTTTCTTGATCTAATGAAATCAAGCCTGTCTGTAGACCCAATGAACCGGAGACTTCCAAAATATCCCGAATTAGGTAGACATTGTCCACCATGGACCTGCCGGGGACGCAATAGGTCTGATCCTGGTGGATGACCTGCTCCATGGCTTTCCCTAGCCTAGTGGCCAGGGCCTTGGAGAGGATTTATAATCTGTACAAAGGAGGGACACGGGGCGCCAGTTCTTAATCTCTTGCAAGTTTCCCTTCTTAGGCAGCAGGGTGATAACTGCCCTGCGGCAAGACAAGGGGAGCGAACCGGTAGACAGACTCTCGTTGAATACGTCGAGCACGTCTTGGGCCAGAAGCTCCCAATAGGCCTTGTAGAACTCGACCGTGAGCCCGTCAACGCCTGGAGACTTCCGACCCTTCATGCCAAGGAGGGCTGTGTGTAGTTCCTGCAGGCTCAGAGGCCGTTCCAACTCCAGGTTGGTCTCCGCAGAGACCTGAGGTAGTTCCTCACAGAACTCCTCCAACAGTTCGCGTTCCCTCTGTGTAAACTTAGTAAATGACTTATTAACTAACTTGTGTCTTAAATAAACTCGTTAAATAATTTTATCATTGTACATTTTCACCTTTCATATTTAATCTTCCAAATTGTCCAATATTTATGTCAAATATTTTCAATTGGTTCATTTTCATAATTATTTTCTGCATGTGTGCGATTAACAACAATCACCCACTGCTACCAATTCTGCTGTGAATCCCAGGAAAGTAAAGGCTGAGATTTAGTTGTGCTTTTGAACGTTTTGTTGAGTGTGTGAGCGGAGCAATGTCTGACAATATCAGCGGGTGAGATTAAAAATTACTTTATGGTTTCCCTTTAGGCATTTTATGTCACTCTTTAATGTGATATATATCTGGTGACATATAATGGGTGCACTTCCCCTGCGCCCATTACAGGCACACAGCCCGCATCACCACCAGCGTTGGTCCACAATCTCCCAGTCGGATTGCGACACCGTGTGTGTGGTCAGGGTACACGTCCAAAAGTCAGGTGACCTGAACATCTGACTCCTCCTCCATGTAGGCGTCTTCTTCCTCTCTCTACATGGAGGAAGAAGATTTTATGTAATATTTGTCAGGAAGCTACTAGATTAAGCGATTGCCATCTTATTTGCTCACCTGGAGATCCTTTATATCATATTTTGACTCAAGTCTAGTTCCAGTCTGGTCATTAGAAAGGAGCAATGACCAGAATGAAACTAGTTCTGGTCATAGTTCCATTCTAGAACATCCAATGTTCTAGAACATAGAACGTTAACTTCTTAGTTGAGTTAATGTTCATTCTTGTAAGATTGTAATTTTCGAATAACCTAAGAAAATTCTGTTTCTATACATGAAGGCATCAAAGTGGATTTCTTGTTTGATTGACATTTAAAAAACTTTTTTTTGTCTATTTCCCAGATCTTCCACAATGTTGTGTGTGTGAAGAAGAGGAGATTCTCAATGACACAAAACCACAGAGGAACCAACTCATCTCTCATGGCTCTGCAGAAACTGAGAACCAGGATCAGGAAGGAAGCAATTCTGAAGACCCAGGAAAAAAGAGAACGGAAGAACAGAAACCAAAGGAGAGATATGAGAAAACCAAACAGCAGAAAGACAGAACTGATGCTGAGAAACAAAAACCGCAGAAGAAAACTCACAAAGGGCAAAAAATATATTCTTGTAAAATTTGTGATAAAACCTTTTCTCTAAACAGTAATTTGAAGAGACACATGAGAACTCACACAGGAGTAAAACCTTTCACTTGTTCAACCTGTGGAAAGAGTTTCAGTGAAGGAGGGACTTTAACTCGGCATATGAGAATTCATACAGGTGAGAAGCCTTTCACTTGTTCAACCTGTGGAAAGAGTTTCAGTGTAAAAACAAATTTAACTAGGCATATGAGAATTCACACAGCTGAGAAGCCTTTCTCATGTGGGACTTGTGGAAAGAGTTTCATTGTTAAAGGGATTTTAACTCGGCATATGAGAATTCATACAGGTGAGAAGCCTTTCTCATGTGGGACCTGTGGAAAGAGTTTCAGGATGAAACAACAATTACTTAAACACATAAAGATTCATATGGATGCAAAACAGTGACGTGCGGTGAGGCTTTACGATGTATAAATACAGACACCATGTATGTTATTGGTTACTCAGAAATTTTGCTCATGCATACAACGCTGGAGGGCAGAAAGACCGTTCTTTTACACGTCATCCATAGCTGTAGTAACCAGGTGAAACTTAGAAATGTAGGTATTGTTTCGTGTTATGATCCACAGCAAAGGGAGAAACCTAAACCACTTTCTCACTCTGCATCACCCAAGCTACATGCAGACTCGTTGCAATAGCAACTGATAACAATGCCATGTTTTAGGATTTAACATAAAAAAAGAAAGAATTTTGGTCACAGAACAGAACATTGAGTTTTTTGCAGTAGTTTGTTTAGTCTTAGTTTTATTAATAAATCATTGCTGTGGTAGATTAGCTAACATTTCTACTTTACTGAATCTTTAGACATACAGACTGTGGCCCACAAAATGCACATTTCATTAAAAAACTAAACAAAAACATGTTTTTTCCCATCTTACCTTTACTTATAAATTAAATCCATGCCAATTCTGCACAAAAATATCCGTTCATCCAAAGCCAAGTCGATGCTCTGAATGTCTTGTACTAAGATAGACTTGAGGTCCATTTTTGTCTACCAGCTTTGTTTTTCTAAAATCAGTTTTTTGTTTTATTTCTCAGTCACATTTGTACTTAAGGTTCCATCAGTGTCCCATTAGATACTGAAGTTAAAGAGGGGAATGTCTTCAGGAAGGTTTAATTTCTGTGGATTTCAGGTGTCTTGCAGTTCTGTGTCATGTAGTTATTGAGTTCAGCTTTTACATTGTTGACTTTACATGTATGACTTGAAATAAAGTATTTTACATTTTAAAGCAGTGTATTATTCTTTTTTCCCATAAATTGCTGGGTTTCAGATGATGTAGCACCGATGCCTTACCATGGAGGTGGGGGTCAGAAAGTCAATGCAGCACATTTAGGCATTTTGACTTAAACATCAAAATGTCTTAAGTCTGTGCCATGTGTGGTTGTTCCAACCATTCTAAAAGAGAGAAAGAAAAACTTTATCTTTGTGTTTGAAGGTAGTCGGTCACAAGGAAGTTAATTTAGAAAAAAACACCTAAAAAATAGAAAAGTGGATCAACAATCTACAGCTAAAACCAGGAGGTGCAGGAAGTAATTATGCCGGAGTTTGCAGAGCCATTTTTCTAACATCGTTTAAATTGTATTTTCAGATATTTTATTGGATGGTAACTTAGAGAGACAAGCATTCATATGCAGGCACATGCAGAGGGGGTCTGGAGAGGCTTGAGCCCTGCCCCTTTTACCCTTGATGCCCCAGAGCCCTTTTTGGGTTTATTTTTGTTTCAACTTGAGTCTTTTGTGTCAGGAGGCCTTCTTGTGCCTCTAAATATAACACCTAGCAAAACTAATGAGTCTGGCTGCCCTTGGTCTAATTATGAGGATTCCCAGTCCTTCTGCCTCCACGTTGTTCAGACACCGGGTCCGTGGCGAGGAAGAGCGGGGCTGAACTGTGACCTCTAACGGTCAACTTTTGGGCAATAATTAATTTTTTCTAACGTACACTTGTGAATAAAAACGTAGGTCTGATATTGAAGTTATAAAACCAGTTCTATTTACATTTTGTAATGATGTCTGGAGGGCCCCTACCAGCAGCTACTGGGTTCTCTTTGTTTACCTTGATATCTCAGCCTTATAATTCTAGATCTCAGAGGTGCTGAAATCAATTAATGACATGTGAGAAGTTAACTGTTTATATATGAAGGTTTTCCTGATTTACTTTTGTTTCAAACAGGTTTTATTTCAGTCTCTATGTTATGTAAATCGATTCTGTCACAGTCTTTGACTAAACAGAAAAATAGAAAAAGACCATCATTATTATACTTTATCATCTAAAATTATAGAAAAAGTTTCAATGATTTTCTATCTGAAATTCAATCCACATCATCAAACCATTTTGTAAGGAGAAAATTTATTTAAAACCATGTCAAAGAAATGCATCCATTTCTCCAAATCATTAAAATAAAAATATGTACAAAGGATAAAAACACATAAAGACTCCAAAATTTCAGAAGTCTAAATCTCAAAGCATTCAAACTCATTGTTAGACGATCTCTCCCTCAGTCTCATTCAATAAAATGGAAATATAAAACTGGAAGAATAAAATTAATTTTTTAGAATTTCAGCTAAATATCCAGATTAAAATGCTTTGTAAGCAAAACCTGCTACATTTAAGAATTTAAGTCGGTTGCAATTACTCCACTTCCAAACAGCAACTTACTGAGAATCTTGAGGTTCACATTGTGCCATCAAACCTGTGCAAGTTCTCATGTGAACAGTTACATTTGTTTTCAGTGAACCTTTTTCTAATGAAATCTACAAAATAAAAGCTTCCAACCCGTGTGAATCTTCATGTGATGACTTAAACTGGATCTGTACACAAAACATTTTCCTCACTTTTCACTAAGGGTGCAGACATGACATGGTGAGCTGGTCTGATAGTCAAACCTCACAGCGGAGAACAGAACAGTGGCTGAGGTCAATAACATTGAGGAATCAGATCAGCTTCACATGCATGTATCTGCTGCTCACCAATGTCCCAAAATTTAGAAAATCAACATTTATTAATCAGCCAGCTGAAAAATCAATGCACAGCTACTTCTCACCAGTGTGAATTCTGTTGTGAGATGTTAAGTGCTGTTTTTGAGTGAAACGTTTTCCACAGATCACACATGAGAAAGGCTTCTCACCAGTGTGAGATCTCCTGTGACGATTTAAACTTTTTTTATAAGGGAAACTTTTCCCACAAATCACACATGAGAAAGGTTTCTCACCTGTGTGAGATCTCATGTGATGAACTAATTGATATCTAGTCAACCAATTTCTCCAAGTGCCACAAGTGATAACCTTCTCACCCGTGTGACATCTCATGTGAACAGTTAAACTTTGCTTTCGAGTGAAACTTTTTCCACAGGTCTCACATGAGAAAGGTTCTCACCCGTGTGAACTCTGATGTGAATAGCTAACTGAGGTTTCCTCCGGAAACGTTTCTCACAGGTCTCACAAGAGAATGGTTTCTCACCTGTATGAATCTCAATATGAGCAAGTAAATGAGATTTAAACGAAAACTTTTCCCACAGGTTGTGCAGGTGTAAGGTTTCTCACCCGAATGAATTCTCTTGTGTCTGTTTAAAGAGTCGTTTAGACGGAAACCTTTTCCACAAGCTGGACAAGTGAATGGTTTTTCACCTGTATGAATTCTCATGTGATCAATTAAACGACTCTCTTTAGGGTAACTTTTTCCACAGGTGGAACATTTGAAAGGTTTCTTAGCCATGTGAGTTTTCTTGTGATTCATCAAGGAACTATTTTGAGAAAAGTTTTTATCACAAATTTGACAAGAATATAGATTTTGGTCTGGTTGAGCTTTCATGTGCGTTTCTTGTTCTGAAGTCTCTGTTGAGTTTTTCTGCTGTTTGTTCAAAATGTCATCAGTTTCCTGTTTCATCACAAGATGCTCTTCATCCTGACTGATGGAAAGTTGCTCCTCTTCCTCTTTGATCTGCAGAGGTTCTGGTTCCTCTTGATCCACTTTCATCTGCAGAGGTTCTGGTTCCTCTTGATCCTGTTTCATCTGCAGAGGTTCTGGTTCCTCTTGTTCCAGTTTCATCTGCAGAGGTTCTGGTTCCTCTTGTTCCAGTTTCATCTGCAGAGGTTCTGGTTCCTCTTGTTCCAGTTTTATCTGCAGAGGGTCTGGATGATCTTGATCTGAAGTGAAGTTTCTCTCGGGTTTCTGAGCTCATTTAGATCCTCCTCCTCTTTGCACACACTGCATTGTGGGAGATCTGGACAAAAAAGTCAAAATATGAGGTCACACAATGAACCTTCAGTTTAACAAAAACTAAAATGAAAATGTTCTTCATCAGGAGTCGTGCTGTGGTAGCGCAACCCACGATTGGAGCCCTTCAGTCCTCCACGGCCGTCACGGGTTTGATTCCCGGACCAGACAATATTTGTTGAATGTCTTTCCTTAGCAGATTCCTGTCAGCCTTCTTTGTATCTGTGTATTGTTTCACTATAAATGGTTCACTTATTGCATAAATTAAAATGCAAAAAATCTAAACAGAACAAGATCTTATGAAATAGGAGCGTATCGCTGCACACATTTAATGAGCACAAGCTGCCGGTCTGTGTATCGTTTCACTATAAATGGTTCACTATTTAGCGGCACTGAAGTGAAAGTGCTGAGCAAACCTTATCAGGGGGAAAGTGAGAGAAAACGGTGGATTGAAATCCACGTGAGAGTCAGATGTGAGGATTAAGGGGTAAACTGCTGGAGAAAAAGCAGCAGGATAAAGCAGAGCAGAATTTAAACATGGAAGAGACGCAGCCGGATCCAGTTTGAGACCCAAAGAACGAGGTGCGCCTCAATGACTGATATTGGAAATCAATGTGAGCCTTTAAACCAATCAGCAGGAGCAGATAAGTTATCCTGTTCAGGTCGATATTTATTACACCGATCCACTGAAACATGTAGATACACATTAGTGGTGTTTTACATCATTTCCTGATGTTTTGAAGCTGATTTTTTTAGACTCTACTGGTGTGAATAGGTTTACATGGACAACATGTAAACAACAATAACTCTTTAAAAACTTGAATTCATATGAGCTTCAACATTTATTTTCAATTTGGGGTCAAAAGAGTATTTTTGAATTTGACTGATATTTTATCAGATGTTTTTGAGATTGATTGATGTATTTTGTTATCATCAGGAGAAAGGTCAAAGGCAGAAGAGATAGATTATGATAAAAAAACACAAAGATCTGAATAATTCATCAATAACAAAAAACATCAATCAATCTCAAAAACATCTGATAAAATATTAAACATTTGAAATATCTATTGAACTCTGATCCTGAAATCTGGAATCAACTCATGGC